TATAGCTCGGGAGGCTGCTCGTCGAGCCGAGGCAGAGGCTGCGGACAAGGGAAGGGAGATTGCAGCTCTGCAGGCTGAACCCCGCAGCCAGCTGGTCAGCCTTGAGAAAGCTGGCTTCAAGCTTGTTCCGGTGTTCCCCGTTGAGAAGGATGCGAACCCGGAGTGGCTGGTCGACACCTCCGGTTATAGGAACACTGGGGAGTTCATGGATTCCGCCAAAGATTATTGCGCTGGGGTCTGCCCCAACCACCAAATCTTCAGCATTAAATGCACTTCCCGCCAGAATCTAGGTTTCCCGCCTAATTAGTGGGGACGATCGTCCGCCCGGGAAGCGAACTGGATCGCTCCAAGTGACCCTCAAGAGGTATCGGCTGTTTGTCTCCTGGCCTTGATGGATTCTCACCATGTGGACTGGGTTTCCTCCGATGACTATAGGCTTGCTTTGGAGACGTTCGTCGTCATCCCTGGTGGCCCGTGGTCCTGCTCCTTGTCCCTGCATAGACGTTCGTCGAGATGAGCCGTTGAGCCTAAACCCCCAACTCCAGACGTTCGTCCCTCCCCAAGGAACATGGGCCTGCGGGCTAGCCTTGTGTTCTAGCTGGACGTACGTCTAGTAAAAAGGGGTTAATGGGCCGGACCTCGGCTTGGGCCCTTAACCCAACATTTATATATAGCTGCTCTTGTTTTTATGTCCTGAACAAGGAGGGGGAAGTTCAAATGACTTGGGACGCTTGTGTATCAATGAGTATGTGGCCCGTGGGCCTGATCCATATACTCTATCAATTATACTCCACCATTGATCCCTACCTACACTATGGATGTCTTCTTTTAGACTGTTTTAAGTCTCATACCAGACTTAAATAGACCAGACCAAAGTCAGACAAGACTTAAATACACCAAACCAGACCACACCAGACATGGACGGTTATAAAAGACACATAAACCAGACATTTACCAGACCAGTTCAGGCCAGACTAGACCAGACTTAAACAGACCAAATCAGACCAGAAAAATTCAGTCCAAAAGAAAACATACTATATATGTGTGTATTATTGATTTTTATTTTATGTATTTATCCAAAATATACCTACATCTGAAATTTTAAAGAACCCTTTCGTGCTTGACTTTAACTTATGTAATTATGAAATTATATGCTCCATATATTACTACCTCCGTCCTATTTTGTGCGTCCTACTTTAATTTCGCACAACTAGTAATAAAGTGACTAAAAAGGTAAAAATTGCGATTGACATTTGAATATAATAAAGTAAAATGATGTAGAACACATATATGTTTCCAAACAAAGAAATATGACACTTATTTTGAAACAGCTTAAAAGGGAAAGTAAGATATATAAAATGAGATATTAAAGGGGGTAGTATTTAGATTTTGTATATGCAAAACAACCTTTAGTATTATAATTATTTAGTTACTTATATTGAATAAATAAGTAAATAAACTAAACGATAGTGTGCTCAGTGATAAAGGCAATTGCTATTGTAGAGAGTAGAGAGAGCTAGGAATAAGTTAACACTATTGCCGAGTCACTTCACATTAAATAAAATATAAATAATAATTAAATATCAGTTTAAAGAATCGGAAAGTCAAATTATTATATTAATTAATATGAAATGGGGTGGGTAAGCAATATTGCTTATAATTCACATTGAGGAGTAAACTCTACACATTAGAGCATCTCTAATGCTATAATGTGCACGGTGCACATGTGGCATGAGTGATGGTCACATAAATATTAGCAAATAAATTATTTTTCTTCTTATTTGAATGATTTTATACAATTTTGGTAAGTTTTTTCCTGCAATGTCAACAACAATGTCAACATCTAGACGGTCTCCTTGACATTGTAGAGAAAAACTTACCAAAACTGTATAAAATCATTCAAATAAGGAGAGAAAGAATTTATTTATTAATATTTATGTGGTTATTTCTCATGCCACGTGTGCACCGTGCACATTTTACCATTAGAGATGCTCTTATGCTTGTAAATCCATATTGGTTTCTCATTGCATTAATGGAAAAATTGACTTTGACGACCGATTAATTATCTGTTAGTAGTGTGATTCATGAGGCATGCTGGAGCCTCTTCCATCTGTTTCACACCAAACAAATTTCTTATAGCTAAGCTAGCTAGTACTCTTAGTTAAACCTACCCATCAACATTCAATTCAATCCTTCAACAATAAATCCATAAAGTTTTGTTCATAATGGATCGGAGCTCAGCTCTGACTCTCTCTGCTCTATAAGGCTAACCGCAACCCAACTCCGTCAATAAATTAAATTTCCCACTATTTTATACGTATTCAATCTGTCAATTCAATTTTGACTGCAATCCTGCACCGTCAATATATTCAACCATCAAAAAGTTTATCTTTAATTAAAGCCATCCTTTTATTATTATAAATTAATTTTTGTTAATCATTTTTTGCAAATAATTATGTTATTAAAAGACGAACATTTCGATGTAAAAATAAATAAATTTGGAGTTTAATTTTTTAATGTTGATTTATACCAATTTTTGAAAAAACAATAACCGAAAGATAGTAAAAACTTATTTTTGTCAAGAGACTAGGGGTGGACTCGGGCCGGTTCGGGCCCGAGCCGGCGGTTCTGGAATGGGGGCCCCAGAACCGGCCCGGGTAATCCCCGGGTCCGGGTCGGGCCGGGCCGGGCCTCGGGCTTTTGTTAATTTTTTTTCCCCTTTTCCTAGTTAATCCCCAACCCCCCTCACCCCCAAACCACCCCAAACCATTCTAAACGGCCCAAATTACCCATCCCAACCCGAAAACTAAAAAAAATTGAAAAAAAAAATTAAAAAGGCCCGGAACTGGGCCCGAACCTGCCGGGCCAGTTCATGATTTGGGGGGCCCGAGCCCGGACCGGTCACTGACCGGGACACCGGGCCGGAACAGTGCCGGTTCGGGCCACCCGGCCCGAGTCCAGGCCTACAGGAGACCTTAATTTTAACACTTAGTTCTACTTAAAACAATTAAACATAAAAATCTCCAACTGATGAAAGCTAATATTATTATTTTTTAAATTTTATATATATGATATTCGTGTCATATTAAAGATCATAAAAAATTATGGATTTTGATATATTTTTTATAAAAAGTGGAATAAAAATAAAAAAGATATAATACATTTAAGAAATTTGGGGTTTTTAATTTTCTTGACCCAACATTTTGGGATCCATGTGGTATGCTGCTGGAGCAATTTCTCTCTCCGTGAATCAACAACCTAATTCCCACTCCGTTGGTGCTATTCAACCAGTTTTAGCACCCATAAATACCTAGTTTGCAGTAAAAATAGGGGTGAAAACATTAAATTTGGCTTTTCACCTACGGGTTTGCGGGCAGCCTAAGTGCCTAACTACAACTCCATAACGGTCATTCAATACCGCGAGCGTAGAAGAATATTAATTAATTTAAGATTTATTTATTTATTTATTTGAGGAATTTAAGATTTAAGATACAATTAATATATATTACTCCGTAATAATATACATAATGGCGTGTTTGTTTCCACCTAGAATGTCAGTCCGGATGTGTAAGCCGGAGATGGTGACGCCGAAAACGCCGACGCCACGAGAGAAGAAGCCGCTGTCTGACGTGGACGACCAAGCCAGCCTCCGGTACCAATTGCCGATGTTGTGGTTTTACAAGAGCAAGACGGCGGCGGCATCTAAGCTCGGGAGGAACGTTATTTGTGAATTAAAAGATATGAAAAGATATTATGATGCTTACTATTAATTAAACCCCTAATACTCAATATAATAGGTCTATTGCTAATTAAAAGTTCATTATACTCATTTAACAGAAAACGTTATTTTCAACTCAATATATATAGGAGGTTGATGTTCAATGAAAATGTCGTGACGTCCAACTAACAAACCTTGTTACTTTCATATTTACGCTCATTTTGTAAGTTACATATGCTCGATTGGTACTCATGTTATGCTCATTTTAAAATGTCATAACAATACATATTTCAAAAGTACCATATTACATTAGATTCGCATATTGAAATTCATAGGAATTGATTATAGATATAATCATATAATTTAATAAGTTTTTATAAAAGAAAAAATAATAAAAAGAAAGTGAATTACAATATACTCCCTCCGTTTCAGTTTGGTTGACACACTTTCCTTTTTTGGACGTTTCAAAATGAATGCCACACTTCCCATTTGGTAAACAAAACAGTGTCAAACAGTGTCAAACAGTGCCAAACAGTGTTCAAACAGTGCCAAACAGTGTTCAAATAGTGTCCAAACAGTACCCAAACAGTAAAATTTACCCCTTAGTAAATGTTTTCCTTAAATGTTGACAAATCAAACTATGTCAACCAAACTGAAACGGAGGGAGTATGAAATTGATATCACAATACACATTACTGGACTCTTAATGCTCAATAGAATATGTCTGATGCTCATTAAAAAGAAAAGGAAAGTGAATTACCAGATATGAAGGAGAGATCACAATGCTCATTATTTGACTCTTAATGATCAGTATCATATGTCTGATGTTCATTAAAAGTGTAATAATGCTCATATAACGAAAACCGCGATTTTCACTGAAATTACGAAAATGCCACCGTTTTTTAGTTGTGATATCACATTTCTTGTAATAACACGATGCTCATTATTAAATGTTTAATACTCATTAAAATTGAACTATTGCTCATTAACAGTACACTAATGCTCATTTAGTAGAAACCGCGTTTTTCACATTATTACAAAAATGCCACCAAATTATTTTGTTGTTTTTCTCTTGGGCCTGTTTTTGGACCGAATGTACGGTGCTCACCGTACAGCCGGTTGTACAATATACGAACTCTGCTGGAGCCTCTTCCATCTGTTTCACACCAAACAAATTTCTTATAGCTAAGCTAGCTAGTACTCTTAGTTAAACCTACCCATCAACATTCAATTCAATTCTTCAACCATAAATCCATAAAGTTTTGTTCATAATGGATCGGAGCTCAGCTCTGACTCTCTCTACTCTATAACTACAACTCCATAACGGTCATTCAATACCGCGAGCGTAGAAGAATATTAATTAATTTAAGATTTATTTATTTATTTGAGGAATTTAAGATTTAAGATACAATTAATATATTACTCCGTAATAATATACATAATGGCGTGTTTGTTTCCACCTAGAATGTCAGTCCGGATGTGTAAGCCGGAGATGGTGACGCCGAAAACGCCGACGCCACGAGAGAAGAAGCCGCTGTCTGACGTGGACGACCAAGCCAGCCTCCGGTACCAATTGCCGATGCTGTGGTTTTACAAGAGCAAGACGGCGGCGGCGGCATCTAAGCTCGGGAGGAACGTCGATGATCCGGCGAGCCTCATTCGGGAAGGTTTGGCGAAGGCGCTGGTGTTCTACTACCCGCTGGCCGGCCGGCTGTTGGAAGGGCCGAAGAAGAAGCTGATTGTGGACTGCACCGGCGAGGGAGTGCTCTTTGTGAGGGCGGAGGCCAACCTTTCCCTCGAGGAGTTGGGCCGTTTTGTTCAGGCGCCATGCCCATATCTCAAGAAGCTTGTTTATCGCGTGCCCGGCGCCGATGGCATCACCGGCGCCCCTCTTCTTCTTTTTCAGGTACCCTCTATAAAGCTTAATTAAGCTTTAATTTAGCTTGACACACAAGTTATATCCAAAAAGTCCAAGTATATCATGGAAATTAATAGAAGAGAAAATTCCTCCAATATACTATGTAGTACGTAATTAAAAGGGGGAAATTGCCCTAAATAAGAGTAAATATGTTTATGTATTCCAAAATAGGAATGTCATGTTTTTTTTTTCTAAATATGACAAATTATCTGTCATGTTTTGGCAGCACCAGACTTTAAACATGACAGTATTTTCTACAATTGGCACAGTAATTACTCCTATAATATTTAGGGACTAAAGTTAACATGACAATTCTATTTTGGAATTGTCAAATGTTTTAGTCATATTTCGAGGATTTTTCTTTAACACAATGATAAAGTTCATAAATTGGACTATCATTATTTTATTCCCAAAATAAGACTCATTCACTCCTGTGTTGAGATTTTTTTTAATAAAAAATTGTCCCTGAATAGAATAAAAACTTTATGAAATTCTAAAATAGAACTCTCATGATTTTATTCCCTAAATAAGAGTAATTTTTATCAAGTTTGGAAAAAACTGTCATGTTTAAAGCATGGTAATACTAAACTTTGCAAAAATTACTCCTATTTAGGGAATAAAAACATAAGAGTCCTATTTTGGACTTTCAAAACTTTTTTACTCCTATTTAGGGAATTTTTCGATTTTTAATCAACTTATTTTGCATTTTGAATATGGAGTGGCGTTCCGTCAGACCGGCCTGACAGGACCAGCCGTCCGGCCGAGCCCTTTTGAGGGCCTTCCCGGTGAAATTTTTTGACGAAATGGTTATAGTAGTTCGTCATCAAGTTTAGTTTGCTCATACCAAATTTCAGCTAAAAATTCAATCAGGAAGGCTGTCAAATAAATTATTTAAGAACCCTGCGCAGTTAATATATATAAACAGCACAGTATTTTTCAAAAAATCATTTGACTGTCTTACCGATTGAAGTTTTAGCTGAAATTTGGTATGGATAAGCTAGACTTGATGAAGAAGATGCTAAAAAATGTTCATAAAAAAATTCCACAGTGAAGGCTCTCAAACGGGCTCGGCCGGAAGGCTGCCCCGGTCAGGCCGGCTTGACATGAAGTTTTATCTTTGAAATGTTTTGATCCTATGTTGAACAATTTCTAGATTTAACAATAAATTTCTAAATATATCACGTACTAAATACAAGTAGAACTCTCCAAAATGCAACAATAGGAGTATAAAAATTAATAATAAAATCATAGTTTCATTTGTAACAAAAACATAAAGGTAAAAAAATTATAAATTTATAATAAAAACATAAAAATATATTACTGCCTAGAAAATATGTAGGTCTTTGTTGTTACATCTTACACCTTTTAGCACCGCCACCTTCAAACATTGAGAAAAATTGTCACCATCATGTGTAAAATGCGATGTTTCGGTGAAATAAGGTATAGATTAAACTTAAACATATCTATAAATAAGTTATGATAAAATTCGATAGAAAAATGACATCAAAACATATACTACTTTTATCCCAAATTATTTTCAAAATCAATTTATTTTTTCCAACCAAGGTTAAAGTTCAATCCTTTCTATTGATAAATAATTCAATTTTAATTATTAAAATTTATGCATTCTGAAACTAAATTAATATATATATAAAATTGCAAAATCCAAATCAAAATTATATTAAGAATTGACATAAATCTATACTAATATAAAAAGGGAAACCATGATAATAACCGTTCCTGCTTCAAAAGTTACGAGTGTTCCTGGACAAATACGGGCCATAGTGCTTAGAAGGCCGAAAATCTTTGTATAACGGAGTATATAAAAACGAAACCAAGTGGAAATAACGGTTTGTGCTCTTCAATCATGTGTGCATGACATAAAAGAGAAAAGTTATTAAATCACTCCTAGCGCAATATGTAATACGTACGAAGTAACTAATAACATTCCATGCCAGTAACATAAAAGAGAAAATTTATTAAATCACTCCTGGCGCAATATGTAATAACATCCCATGCCAGTAACTTCTTTCACCTTCAGTTATGCAATGATAATTAAATATAATAGTTGCTGCACAAATAAATTTTCCTGTGAGCCCCGTATTTGTTTAGGTATTTGTTACGTACTGTTGTTTGGTAATCTTACTCATTCACTATTTACATGAAGTATAACACTTAAATATTATGTGATCAATAATTGGTGAATTAAAGTTGAATTGAATAAGTCTATTATTCTTGAAGTCCCTTTATTCAACTAAATACGTAGTATATTATTGCTTTGTACAGAAAAGTGAACCATAGAAATAGTACTTCATATCCTAACTCATTAATATCACATTTGGTAATTATGATAAATAACTGTTGCCAATTAGGATATTTTTTTGGACTATTTTCTGTCCCAGAGCAGACCATATCAGATCAGACCACAGATTTCCGTAGTTATAAAATACAGAGACCAGATCAGATCAGACCAACAAATTTCAGTCCAAAAACACATCCTCAATGTTAACAATATTTATGATAATCATATATTGATAATATTCACCATATGTAAACAAAACTTTAATTATATGGTTGTAGTTATGTTTATTTTGTTTTTATTAAGTACGGTACATCAACTAGGATAAAAATAAATTTATCATCACTGGACATACACGAATATTATATTAGCAATAGAAGCATAATTGATAGGAAAATGTATGGACATCGCTATTTTTAAACAAACTTTTACAGTTTACTTCCTCCGGTTTATTCAAGCTAGGTGGCAGTTTCTTTTGAGTTTTATTTAGAGCAAAATTATATTCGCTCCATTTCTAAATTAAAGTCACATTTTCCTTTTTTGGACATCCCTAAATAAATTCACACTTCCTTATTTGATAAACACATTTACATCAAAACAATACAATACAATACAAAATATTTATAAACAATGTACTTTATAGTAAAATTTACCCCTCAATAAATTTATTTTTCCTTAATATGTGAAGTCAAACCGTGACTTTAATTAAGGGACGGAGGGAGCATATGTTTTTTTAAATAGATTAGCTACTTAAATTATTTAAGAATAATTGTATTATTCTAAAATGTCCAAAATTATGGGATGTTAATAAATTAGCTACGTACTGTCGATTTAAACGGAAAATTTTAACGAAATAACTCGATTAACATATACGAAGTATTAAATAGATTAATGACTAAATTGATAGATTTAATAGTTCGAGAACAAATATTATATGATGGTGATAATTCAAGGACCAGTTAACAATTTACTCTTTTATTTAAGAATTTTTTTTACCTTTACTAGATGGTCACGTTGTTGATGAAAATAGTTACTATGTATAGCATTACTTTTAATCTTATCATAAATGAAAATTTATATGCATCGCACAGGTACAATTCTAGTTAATAAATAAATGAACCTTTTTGACCAAAAATAGATTGTTTTACTCAATCTTTCGAAAAACATTCTTTTACTCGAGTGATTTTGTCCCGATAATATAGGTCGTAGTAATAAAAATGATAATAACACGATGTTGGTGCATGTTTTTTGTAGGTGACGCGTTTCACTTGCGGTGGTTTTGCACTTGGCCTCATGTTCAACCACACCATAATGGACGGTTACGGGGTCGTGCTCTTCTTAACGGCCGTCTGCGAGTTAGCAACCGGCGGCGCTCTAGCGCCTTCGGTGTTGCCCGTATGGGAGCGAGAGCTATTGACGTCGGATGCGGGTGCTGAATCATCAACTTCCGGCGCAATGAGGGCGGACGAGCACGCCATGTACAGCAGTAATAATAATAATAAAAAGAGGCGGCGGCATTTCAAGCTGCTCGACTTAGAGAGGTGGGCTAGCATGGTCATGAACTTCGACAAAATGGCTGCCAATCCCCGCTACTTCTTCTTCTCCAACAAACTGAAACCCTTCTTCCTCCGGCGCTCCTTCACCCTCGGCCCGAGAGAAATCCTGGCTCTCAAAGCCCACGCCTCCGCCGCCGGGGAGCAAATTCCCGGCCGCTACTGCACCACCTTTGAGGTGGTCGTCGCTTGTTTGTGGAAATGTCGCACCATCGGCCTTCAACCGGACCCTAACGCCACAGTCCGCGTCACCTTCACCGCCGACATACGTGGAAGGTCCTCCGCCACGGGGCTGACGCTTCCGCGTGGGTACTACGGAAACGGGATCATGTTTCTGTCCGCCGCCACCACCGCTAAGTTGCTGTGCGAGAGCCCCTTCTCTTACGCCGTCGACTTGATCAGAGAGGCGAAACGAAGCCTGCATGCAAACTACGTCACGTCGGTTCTTGATTTCCTGGTGGTCAACGGCCGTCCGAGGGTGTCAACAGACCGAAATCTATCCGTTTCGGACATATCATGTATTGGGTTGGAGAAAGTGGACTTTGGATGGGGAAATGCTACATACGCCGGCGTCGCCACGTCCGTTTTAGGATTCAGTTTTTTAGAACGTGCGATGAGCGCCGCCGGTGCGGAGAAGAGTATTTTGGTGCCCATTGCTCTGCCCTACATTTCCTTGCGGATTTTTATACGTGAGTGGAAGAGGCTGACTAGGTCTCTCATCTTGTCCCAGCCTGCTAGCTAGCTAGCTAGAGAGCGGTCGGGTGATCCCGACCGGCCGGCCCTACAAGTCCATCCGGTCCTAAAGCTATTGAATTGGCCGATCTAATTAATTAGCCTGTTCAAAATTACATTACATTACTTCCAAAAAAATTACTTTACAATGATGCGGAGTACTACATGCTATTACTCTCACGTCCCGTTTTATTTGTCCTACTTTTCTTTTTGGATTGTTCCAAAATAAGTGTCTTTTTTCCTTTTTTGGAAAGAAATATGTGGTCTATATCATTTCACTTTATTATACTCAAACATCAAACACAACTTTTACTTTTTCAATCACTCCATTAATAATCGTGTCAAGTCAAACTAATACACATAGAAATGAACGTAGGTAGTAATTGGCAAGAGATAATTCCCTAACTATGACTAAAAGTTGTTAAAAGTGCAATAATGAGACTTCCTATGTTCCGTTACTTCAGTAGGACTTAAAAGAGATGGGTAGACAAATATACCCTTAATGAAATCCTGATTACTTAATTATTAATATGGAGTATAAAATAAAATAACAACGACACTCTGCATATGAACTTCAATAATACGGTGTGCTCCAATAGTCCAAGGTTACTATATCGCTTTATGCCTTTATCCACCACCGCCACCCCATATGCGCCGCTGCCGCCAACACTGTAGTTGCCACCACCTCCGCCGTCATCTCCCTCAGCAGCTCCACCGCCTCCATCTCAGCCGCCGCCATCTCCGCCACCACTAACATCTTCGCATCTACCACCACTACAGGTTCCTCCGACGCCACCCTAGCCTCTTCCTGCACTGGCGCCACCCTATCCTATCCCGGTACCGCCACAGCCATGGGCACTGCTGCTGCAGATCCCATATCTAAAGAAAATGCATGATTTTGCATTAAATCTCAATTTTTCATGATTAATAATCATTTTTTCTCTTTGATTTGAAAATAATTTCATTTTTATGGCATTAATTAGATGACAATATTATTTATATGTAAATAAAGTATATAAATGTCATTTTTGGTTTGAAAATGTCATTTTGACTAACAATAGCATTTATGGCATTAATTAACAACTTCAAGATGGCAATATTGAATCTTTGCAAATAAAGTACTATTAGTGTCATGATTTTCCACATTAATGCCATGTTTAAAATATTACTTAGTGCCATTTTTATGGCACTAAATACACTAAAATGGCAATATTATTCACTCCAAGTATATTGACACTTCATCAATTTGAAAATTAAATTTCGACTATAAATGTCATTATTATGGCACTGGCTTTGCCGAATAGCAATAATGGCACTGAAGTATTACATTATTTTATTGGCATAAAAAACTAAAAGTTATTGCCATTTAATTTAAATCATAAAATTAATTTGAAGAGTATTATAAAAGATAAAATAAAAAGTCAAAAGAACAAAGGTTTAAAGAAGAAATTGAAAGAAAAAAGGAGAAGAAAGCTAAAAAAGTCTTGCCAGATTAAATTATAATTTAAAAAGGCAAAAGAAAGTACATAAACCAAATATCAATTTAAGAATTGAAACGGAGGCTCTGCCTCGGAGAAAAGGAAAAGAAGGGGGAGAAAGTGAAGAAAAGAAAAAGGAAGAAGAAGAAGAAGGAGTAGAAGAAGAATTAGTAGAAGAAGATGAGGATGAGGAGGAATGTTAGAAGCTTACCTACGAGTTTGCCGCCGCCCGTCTCTGCCGCCTGCTGGAACTCTAGAAAAAACCACCACAGTTAATATATACTACCTCCGTCCCAAAATTAACTTCCCGTTCGGTTTACGATGCTTGACTGACGATAAAGCAACTTGATCCCTGCTCACACTCGGATTATTTTTAGTAAATAAAACTTACATATTCAGAAACTATATTAAAACCGCTACAAAGCCTGATCAATAAAATTTAAATTTGATAAAAATTTGATATAAAAAGTAAAAAATTGCGAGTGATTCAAGTTGACCAATGAATAGTGACTATGAAGTTATTTTTGGGACGGAGGAAGTACTTCTAAAATCGATCGGCGAAGGAGGAATTTATATGTATTGGAAATTTGGGATATGTGAGGAGCAAGGAGATGAGTTGGTCTGGAGCAGATTCATTGCTTGAAGGAAGCTTGAGGGTAGATCTGTTGCGTGAAGATCTAGAAAAGAGACATTGGGGGAAGAAAGGATAAAGGAGAGAGAGAAATGAAATTAAAGAATGAATTAGATTAGTGCGTAACAAGAGAAGGTAGTGTTGGAAAAATGGTTTTACAAATTAATATTATGGTCATTAATATTATTTGTAAAAATCATTTTGAAATGAATGAGAAATTATTCCCCGAAAGATAAGCGTGAAATTATACTTAACACGCATACACTGTCGCCGTTAATCGGTCGGGTTCGGGTCTTTGACGAGTCAACAATCGGGCTTAAGATAGGAAGATTTATTTTTGCTACATTTTTCGGATAAAACCAAATAAAAGACACAACCATTCGTTTTAAAAGAAAGGTCATGAACTTTCTTTAAAAGGTGTCTTTTGGGTTAAGAGGCTCCTGGCCAGAGCTCTATAAATACCCGCCTTGTCTTCACTTTTGAAAAATCCGAACATTCACTAATAATTCCTCAAAATTCTCTCTTCCTTCGTTGCATCTTTGAGTTCGCCGGAATCCCGTTGGGAGCGAAGAACCGTTCTATCCTGGGAGACGCTTGCTACGTGTGTCGGGCAAAAACGTCTTAAGGAGACAACGCTTTTGTTGGGCTCGGTTGATACAAGTATTTTTCTTTTATTTCTATTTATCTAATTAATGCATGCAGATTTACATGAACTTTGAATAACAATCTTAAGACGTTTTCGCGCTGTTCTATTCAATGTTTTCTGTGTGCTATCACGTTATTGCCATCTTAAGATATTAGGCTATCCGTTATGTGTATGTGTACTTCGTAATTTTTTTTTCTTGCTCAATTTTTTTATATTGAGAATCTGATTTGCTTTCCACCGATCTGTTTTATTATATTATTGTATTTGATACAATCAATTCTGCTTTGCATCTCGTCGTATATAAAAAACTCTCTTCTGCGTTTGTATTGCAATTTGTTCGCTGCATTGTATTCTATGCGCACTGTTCAATTTCTTTTCAAGCCGTAGTTGTATTTTCAATTTTGCATGTTGTGTACGAAGTATATATTATTTTTTTCTTACGGCTGTTAGCACTTTAAAATTTTGGTCTTTATGGTCAGTGCATGAGTTACTTTTATTTTTCATTGCATGTATTAGTTTGCATGATCAGAAGTATATGTCGTTTCTTTACAAACTTTGTTGAATAGTCGCATCTCTTTGCATGTATCCGTTTCTTGTTTAAATTTTAATTGAACTCTATTTGTTCCAATTTTTGCTTCTGATATTACGTGTCTCAATCGGCAATTCTATCTAATTTCTTTGTCTACATTCACATCGACGCAATTGATCACTTTAGTGTGATCAAATTGTTTTCCCCAATATAAACTTTTGTCGATGACTATTCTATAACCATATTGTTTACATGTTCAATTGATACTATTATATACTGTGTGTATATATTTGTTCTCAAAAGTATACAAGTTCTTTTATCCAATTGAATCCGTCTGTTTTATGTAAACAGAATGGGAGACGAAAGTAACATCACTTTTCCGAAATCATCCCCGCTCACTACTATCCCGATCAGTTCTTCTCACGGGGAGAAACCTAGCAAATTCAATGGTCATGATTTCAAACGTTGGCAACAGAAAATGCTGTTTTATTTAACAACGTTGAATTTGGCTAAGTGTCTCTCCGAAAGCCAACCTGTATTAGAGGAAGGCGAGACTGATAAGGACAAAGTAGCCGCTGTGGATGCATGGAAGTATTCAGATTTCTTGTGTAGAAATTATGTCCTGAACGGACTCGATGACTCCTTGTACTCAGTGTATGCCGATATAAAAACGGCTAAAGAATTGTGGGAATCGCTTGAGAAAAAATACAAGACCGAGGATGCCGGCAAAAAGAAATTTATTGTCGGGCATTTCTTGGACTTTAAAATGGTTGACCACAAATCGGTTGTTTCTCAAGTTGAAGAATTCCAACTTATTCTTCATGAAATTCATGCTGAGGGTATGTTCCTTAGCGAGTCCTTCCAAGTGGCCGTGGTAATTGAAAAGTTGCCTCCCAAATGGAAAGACTTCAAGAATTACTTGAAGCATAAGCGTAAGGAAATGTCCCTAGAGGAGCTCATTGTTCGTTTAAGGATAGAGGAGGATAACCGCAAATCCGAGCATAAGGCTGGACGATCTAATTCCATGGAAGCTAAAGCAAACATGGTGGAAGCGGGATCCAAGAAAGGGAAGAAGAGAAAGCACAATGACGAAGGAACAAGTGGAGGGAAACCTTCGTCAAAGAAGTTCAAAGGAAAGTGCTATAATTGTGGCAAGCCCGGTCACCGTGCTAAGGACTGTCGTGCTCCTAAGAAAAAGAAGACCGGACAAGTCAATATTGTGGACGACCTCTCTGATGACATGGGTGAAATGAACCTATGTGCTGTGATATCTCAATGCAATTTAGTGGGAAACACTAAAGAATGGTGCATTGACACTGGAAACACTAAAGAATGGGAAACACTTTAGCAAAAATGGTTTCAAGCTTGTCTTTGTGGCTGATAAATTTGTACTTACAAAGAATGATGTGTTTGTAGGGAAGGGATATCTCAATGATGGTCTCTTCAAAATGAATGTACTTACCATTGTACCGAAACTTGTTGATAATAATAAAGTGGGTTCTTCTTACTTGGTTGAGTCTTCTACTATTTGGCACGCTAGATTAGGACATGTCAATCATGATACTTTGCGTAGATTAATGCATTTAGAATTGCTTCCTAAATGTCATATTGATCCTAATCACAAGTGTGAAATTTGTGTTGAAGCAAAAATGGCTAGAAAACCTTTTCACTCTATTACTAGAGAAACTGAACCACTAGATCTCATACACACAGATCTTTGTGATCTCAAGTATGAAGAAACTAGAGGGGGGGAAAGGTATTTCATTACCTTCATTGATGATAGCACAAGATATTGCTATCTGTATTTGCTACATAGCAAAGATGAAGCTGTTAATGCTTTTAAGCATTATAAAGCTGAAGTTGAAAATCAACTTGGAAGGAAGATTAAAGTGTTAAGGAGTGATAGGGGTGGTGAATATGAATATCCCTTTGAGCCAATCTGCTCGGAAAGTGGAATAATTCATCAAACTACTCCTCCTTATACACCTCAATCTAATGGAATCGCCGAGAGGAAAAATAGAACGTTAAAGGACATGGTCAATGCCATGTTAGTTAGCTCTCGTGCTCCGAACAACTTGTGGGGGGATGCTGTCTTAGCCGCCAACTACATTCTAAATAGAATGCCACACAAGAAAACACACAAGATTCCATATGAGTTATGGAAAGGGAAAAAACCAAGTTTCAATTACTTGAGGGCGTGGGGATGTCTAGCAAAAGTAGCTATTCCTAAACCTAAAAGAACTAAGCTTGGACCAAAGACCATTGATTGTGTCTTTGTTGGATATGCACAAAATAGTAGTGCATATCGTTTCCTTGTCCACAAATCATATAATGAGGACGTAGTGGACAATACTTTTATAGAATCTAGAGATGCTACATTCTTTGAGAATGTATTCCCTTTTAAGGGAGATTGTGAAGTTGTCTCCTCCGACATGGATATTTTCACTCCAACCCATGTTGAAGAAACAAATTCACATAAGAGATCTTTTGATTCTATAAATGATAATAATGAAGTGGCGGAAGAATGTGAAATGGGACGCAACAAAAGGGCTAGAAAATCTAAGAATTTTGGACCCGATTTTGTTGTGTACCTATTAGATAATGAGCCTCAAACTTATAAGGAAGCCATGTCTTCACCAGACGCTGCACAATGGCAAGAGGCTATCAAAAGCGAGATTGATTCCATCATGTCTAACCACGTTTGGAAAGTGGTAGATTTGCCTCCTAGATCTAAACCTCTAGGATGTAAATGGATCTTCAAAAAGAAAAGAAGAACTGATGGAACAATTGAGAAATACAAAGCTCGATTGGTTGCCAAAGGATACAACCAAAAAGGGGAGTTTGATTACTTTGATGTTTATTCACCAGTTACAAGAATAACTTCAATTCGAATGCTATTGGCAATAGCTGCATTGAAGGGTTTGGAAATCCATCAAATGGATGTAAAAACTGCATTCTTGAACGGTGACTTAGAAGAAGAGATTTACATGCAACAACCTGAAGGTTTTATTGTCCCCGGAAAAGAAAGAAAGGTTTGTCGCTTAGTAAAATCTCTTTATGGGTTAAAGCAAGCCCCCAAACAATGGCATGATAAATTTGACAGTGTAATGCTGTCAAATGGATTTAAGATCAACGAGGCCGACAAGTGCGTGTACGTGAAAGGCAATCAAATTGACTACATCATAGTCTGTCTATACGTAGATGATATGCTCATTTTTGGTAATAACAATAATTTGATAAAGGCTACCAAAAGTATGTTGGCCAGGAAATTTGAAATGAAGGATCTCGGTGTTGCTGATGTAATTCTAGGAATTAAAATCATCAGAACACCTGAAGGGTTGATATTATCTCAATCACACTACATTGAGAAAATGCTTGAGAGATTCAAGAAGTATGATATCAAACCCATGAGAACTCTTTTTGATTCCAGTGTTCACTTCAGTAAAAACAGAGGAGATAGTGTATCGCAAGATGACTATCCTCGGGTCATAGGATGTTTGACATATGTCATGAATGGAACACGACCCGATATAGCTCAAGCTGTGAATAAGCTAAGCCGATTTTCAACAAATCCCAGTAGAGAACACTGGAAAGGGCTTATAAGGCTGCTTGGGTATTTGATGTACACCAAAGACTATGGTTTGCATTTTCAAAAATATCCAGCCGTGCTAGAGGGATATACCGATGCAAATTGGATATCCGATTCCAAGGATACAAAATCAACAAGTGGATATGTGTTTACCCTTGGAAGTGGTGCTGTGTCATGGAAATCTTCCAAACAAACATGTATTGCAAGATCTACCATGGAAGCTGAATTCATTGCCTTAGATAAGGCTGGAGAAGAAGCTGAATGGTTGAGAGAGTTTTTGGAAGATCTTCCTTGTTGGGAAAAGCCTGTCCCTCCAATATCCATTCACTGTGATAGTCAAGCTGCAATTGGAAGGGCAAGGAATGCAGTTTATAATGGTAAGTCTAGACACATCCGTCGTAGACATAATACCGTTAGAAAACTAATTAAAAATGGGATCATCTCTCTTGACTATGTTAAGTCGAAAGAAAATATTGCGGATCCGCTAACCAAACCTCTACCGAGAGAGTTGGTCGAAACGTCAAGGAGAGCAATGGGCCTACGTCCAATGATCCAATAAAAAGTCCATGGGGAAACCCTACCTATTATTGAGAGTGCCTCATAATTAGGTTCAAAGGGAAAACACAACTGTGGACTGGCTCGGGCGGTACTAGCCAAGATATAGTACACTCATGTCATGAGCACTTAGGGTAAGTTACGCTTTTAATGATCTCTATATCTTGATAAGTTCAAGTAAGGTATGACATGATACCTTCCATAGAGATCACCTATGCTGGTGGAAGAAGGCCGCTTCTATGAGAGTCTATGGCACGAGATAAATTCTCCGGTGCACGATATACTCTCAAAAACACTAGCTGAACCAGGAGGTGTTCAAGGCCGAAACGAACACAAACGTGAGAACCAAAGATGCACTCGGGGCTCTGTGTGTTATTCATTGTCTAGGTTTACACTATGGCTGACGGTTCAAAGCAAAGTGCTACCGATTGTCCAGTAAATCCGATGGATATACACTAAGGTAGGTTCAAAGTTTCACGACTACCTAACCCTATGCAGAGTTCCCATCTTCCCATGTCAAATTCCAATAGGTTTCCTGTCTTTAAGCCAATTTCCCATTCATGTGGGGGGATTGTTGGAAAAATGGTTTTACAAATTAATATTATGGTCATTAATATTATTTGTAAAAATCATTTTGAAATGAATGAGAAATTATTCCCCGAAAGATAAGCGTGAAATTATACTTAACACGCATACACTGTCGCCGTTAATCGGTCGGGTTCGGGTCTTTGACGAGTCAACAATCGGGCTTAAGATAGGAAGATTTATTTTTGCTACATTTTTCGGATAAAACCAAATAAAAGACACAACCATTCGTTTTAAAAGAAAGGTCATGAACTTTCTTTAAAAGGTGTCTTTTGGGTTAAGAGGCTCCTGGCCAGAGCTCTATAAATACCCGCCTTGTCTTCACTTTTGAAAAATCCGAACATTCACTAATAATTCCTCAAAATTCTCTCTTCCTTCGTTGCATCTTTGAGTTCGCCGGAATCCCGTTGGGAGCGAAGAACCGTTCTATCCTGGGAGACGCTTGCTACGTGTGTCGGGCAAAAACGTCTTAAGGAGACAACGCTTTTGTTGGGCTCGGTTGATACAAGTATTTTTCTTTTATTTCTATTTATCTAATTAATGCATGCAGATTTACATGAACTTTGAATAACAGGTAGAATAGGAATAGGATTGAAAAAGGTCCTATTTGGGAATTAAAAGAACGTATGATCCTATTCTTGCATAAATATTATAATTTGGTCCTACTTAAGTCAATTACTTAATTGGCAAATACCACACTATACATGTGCCGTGTCATGATCGAGTTTGCACGAAAAAAAATCATCCAATTTGGTTCTTCTCCACCCTAAATAATTAATTTGATAATCCACTTCCATTTGATTTCAATTAAAGTATAACTAGTACTCCGTACTTCACTAAATTGTTATATCTTCATTATATCAGTCATATCTAGCATTATTATGGGGGTGTTTGGTAACGCCCATAACAGCTGGATTTTGGCTGATTTGACCAATACTTAGCCTTTTGACCAGATTAAAAGTGTTTGGTTAGTGGCTTTTTTACTTGGCTTTTTGTCCCAAACAGCCAAAATACGAAACGCCAGTAAACTCAGCGTTTAGGTCTTGGCCGTTCGACAATTTATCTGATATTCCTATTCTACCCGTACTGCCGCCCTTTTCTTTATTCTCGTCACTTCCTAGGCCTAAATTAAAACAAAACGCAGCCGTGAAGGAAGCTCTGCAAAGGTATTCGTCACTTTTGCTACAACAGTCTGCGAAGGTATTCTTCTTTTCATTACTTTAATTTTCGTTTGGATTTTCTGTTTAAACATGACAGATAATTAACTCTTAAACAAACAATTTAGCACCGTTGTTTTGATTTTTTTTGGATTGGAGAATTCAGAGGCCTTTTACTTCACCTTTTTCTGTTATAATATACACTTATGGCCTTTCCAGTTGCTTGAAGAGCATCCAATATCGTATCATAGCTTGAAAACTCAATGTTTAAAAGCAATAGCCGTCTTTGCTCTCACACACAATAGTTAAGAGGTCATAAAAATTAATTGATATATATACACACACATATACATATATATTCCGTCTGAACCTCAAGCCACAAGTATAAGCCTAAACATATTTGATAAAATCATGCACTACAAGTTTGTTTTCAAGAATTTAGCTACCTAGTTGAAGGAGGAAGTTATTTCATACTCCAATAGGACAAAAAAGGGGTTTGATTGACAAAAACAGAGAATTGAATTTGTAAAAAATGTATAAAGCCTCAAATAGAGGAAGAAGTAATCTGTAGAGCATAGGTGGAAAAGATTGTATTTATATGTTTGAGTTTTTCGGTTGACAAACAAGGAAGTGTTGTTTTTCTGTATTATGATAGTAACAATAGTAACCTATTATCTGCCTAATTTGTCCTTTATCCTCTACCATCTCACCCTATTTCTTGCCATGGAGACACTCACAGAATTGAGATCAATATAAATAAGTAATGAAAATCAACTAACACACTACAATAAACTAGAATAAACTATTCAAAAAATGGAGGAGAGGTTAGAGAAGAAGAAGAACAAGGAAGGAGATAAGGCGGAAGTAGACAAGTCATAAAAGAACAATGAAAAAGAAATTCATAAGAGCTGAAGTGGAGTAGTACTGTAATAGACTACCTCTCTGCAGCCTAGCACTCTTTCTTTGAGTTATTCCTTCCATTTACTTGTGACAAATTAATCCTATAATGCAAAACCGCAGTAGATAGGCTTTGTATAATTCTCGTTGTCCTATCTTCCTTCAATGAGTAGTATTTGAGCTCATTCTGTGTTTTTTATCGTGCCAAAAAAGAGCAGATAATAAGTGAATTTATTTAACTTATTTAATCAAATAGGTGTAGTAATATTTTTTTCCAACAGCTTTCCGTTAGTAACATAAATATAATTTTTTCTAATACTAATGTAATACTACTAATGTAAAATAGAAGAAAATTAAGACCCTATAACTTAATCATTCGCTTTGGTGTATGTTCTCTTGGTACTATTTATGAATTTAGGTAGAATGGATAGCAGTTGTAGCACGATTTGTAACCCCCCATTTTATTTCATTTTCAAGGATGTAGTTTGTGAGGATGTAGGATACTGGAGTTAATAGATGCTTGTAGTCCTTTTTATATTCATTCATTGAAATGGCTTTGATTTTTATTCTTGTCTGTTAAGTATTGGTAAGTACTTATTAGTTTTTTTGAACAACTACTTCACATGTACAATATATTTTATGTGGTGTAATGTTTCTTGAATTATTAGTTTATTGCTATATTATTAGATGAATCACGCTCGAAATAAGAACAATGAAAGTCAGCCAAGTGCAACTATAGGTAGAGTTAGTTGGACAAAAGAGTTAATGCACTTCCTTTGCGACCTCTGCCTACAAAATGTTGAAAAGTGCAAGGGAAAAACTGGTGGAGTAACTTCTCAAAAGTTGGTATGGAAGAAAATAGAAGCCGATTTTGCAAAACATACAAACCTTCACTGGGATAAAGGAAAACTTAAGCATAAGGTGGATTGGATGAGACATAAGTGGGGTCTTTGGAAACTATTGAAAGGAAAGGAGACGGGATTAGGATGGGATCCTGTAAAAAGTACCGTTGATGCTACTGATGAGTGGTGGAACATGAAGATTAAGGTTAGTTTTTTTATTTGTTATAGTATGTGATTAGATTATAAGTATCTACAGGTTGAGGAATATTCATGTCCGGAATTTCCTGACCGGACCCCGTCCGGCCTTTGCCATTTGGGGAAGTTCTCGATGGTATTTTTTGATGAATTTGTTTTTGTATGTTATTCATTCAGTCTAGTTTATTCACACCAAATTTCAGCTAAAAATTCTATAAAAAAGGCAGTCAAATGATTTTTGGAAGTTAACTGCGTTTTATATGTATATAAAGGGTGCAGTTAACTTTCAAAAATCATTTGACTGGCTTTCTGGTTGACTTTTTAGCTTTTGGTATAGATAAACTAGACTTGATGAAGAACATGCACAAAAAATTTCAGCCAAAAATACCACTGAGAACCTCCCCAAAAGACGGAGGCCAGACGATGTTTCTGTCAGGAATTTCCGGACAGGAACAACACTCTCTAGAGATTATTTTAAACTTTAACTTTTTATAGGAGAATTCAAAATTTGGGCCACTTCGCGAAGAAGGGATTGAACCAGAACTAGAATATAAGATGGATCAAATGTTTGGTTTTTATGCTCAAGGTGCTTTAAAATACACTCCGGTGTCTAATCTCCCGGAAGGTCATATGCAAACTGAAGATGATAATGTGTATGTTCCTTCTCCACCTCGTAGTGATACTCCTGGTAATAATGTTGATGATATAGATGCTACATATGGTGGTAGTATCCGTGAAGCATGGGATGATGTTTGGAGAGACGATAGCCCCCCTCCTATCTCTCCTATATGTACACAAGATGAAAGGTATGAAACAAGGAACGGCAAGAGAGTTGTAGTGAATGATGCACCACAATCTAATAAGAGTGCAAGGATTGAAACATCAAAAAGGGCAGGCAAAACCAAATCTTTGGGTGACAAACTTGATAGCATGATGCAACTCATTGGAGAAAGGAATAATACATCTAAGGGAGTGCATATGTCTATCATGAGTGTTATGGATTCAATGGTCAAACCTAAAGATGGTGAAATTACTGATGCATTAGCAAAACTGTGTGCTTTGGATCTAGATCCGAGCACACCTGAATTCTATTTTGCTTGCACGATGATTGAGGATCCACAGAAAAGATCTATTCTTCTTGGTTTACCAAATGACAAGATGAGAGTTGAGTACATCAAGTTTGTGTATGCTAAGCGAAACAGGATTTAAAAGGCATCGCTATGTTTACATTAGTATTTTTTTAACTTAGTTATGAACTGATGTTATGGATTGTCATGTTTTGGAATCTTTATTATGAAACAAGGAACGGCAAGAGAGTTGTAGTGAATGATGCACCACAATCTAATAAGAGTGCAAGGATTGAAACATCAAAAAGGGCAGGCAAAACCAAATCTTTGGGTGACAAACTTGATAGCATGATGCAACTCATTGGAGAAAGGAATAATACATCTAAGGGAGTGCATATGTCTATCATGGGTGTTATGGATTCAATGGTCAAACCTAAAGATGGTGAAATTACTGATGCATTAGCAAAACTGTGTGCTTTGGATCTAGATCCGAGCACACCTGAATTCTATTTTGCTTGCACGATGATTGAGGATCCACAGAAAAGATCTATTCTTCTTGGTTTACCAAATGACAAGATGAGAGTTGAGTACATCAAGTTTGTGTATGCTGAGCGAAACAGGATTTAAAAGGCATCGCTATGTTTACATTAGTATTTTTTTTAACTTAGTTATGAACTGATGTTATGGATTGTCATGTTTTGGAATCTTTATTATTCTTCAAACTATATTATGAACTTATGCTTGCCTCACTGCTAAATGCCTCAACGTTATTAGTTTGGATTGAATCATTTCCATTATTTTGGATATTTTATTAGTTTATTAATTAGGTTTGCAATGTTTGGATTGAATCATTTTCGTTATTATGAAATTATGTTATATGGGTTGTTTGTCTACATTTTATGGTTGTGGTATATTATTAATATTATTTATAATTTTTAAGCTAAAATAAGATGACATGTATTTTTGTAGGTATGGATGATACTAATATAACTGTGAGGAAGCTTCTCCTAATTAAAGAATATTTGGACGATGATGATGAATTTTGGGATTTGGTAGCTTGTACAACTAGCTATATGTATGTGTATTTCATGAATCACATATATAAGGAACGTTGTATGACATCATACTTAACAGGACAAAGATTGATATGCACTAATTAGTAGTGCATAAGTGTGTGTTTTTATGTTTGATTTGTGTGGATTGTTTACCATTTTATTTAGTTTGTAAACATTTGTGTGATTTTAGTTGTAATCGTATTTTAGTTCTCATTTGTAAGTTGTAAAGTAGAGTTAGGATTTATGGTGTTGGAAAGGAAGACTTTGAAGTGAAGAAAAAGGGATTTTGACTGTCCAAGAGAAAATACCCGACCGGGCATAAGATGTCACCCGGTCGGGTCTGATTCAACAACCGAAAGTGCCTGGAAAGTGCACTCACCCGGTCGGGTCCCCTATTCCACCCGGTCGGGTCTGACTTGACCCGGGACACTTTAACATGCCGAAGATATATCGCCAGAACGTGGAGGATATTTGATTTTGACATGCACCCGGTCGGGTGGGCTCTTTACCCGGTCGGGTACCCGGCCCAAGGTGTTGAAAAACACCTATAAATAGCACACTTTTCCTTCACAAATAATCATCCCTTCTTCCATACTCTTAAGCTCAGTTTAGAATAGTATTTCTTTTATATTTTTATAGTATGTTTAGTCTCCAAATGAGGAGCTAAACTCTTCCATCTTGGTTTTGCTCCTTTGAAGCTTAATGAATTTGTAAGTTGTGAGTTATTATCTTTAATCTTCTTCCTTGAATATTAATTCTTTCTTTAAATACTATTTCTATATCAATGTTGGGGAGTGTTACTAAGATGACAATTAGTTAACATCTTGACATTAGTTATAGTAATAGTTATTTCTTCCTCTACGTTAATATCGGGGAGTGTTACTAAGATGACAATTAGTTAACATCTTGATATTAACTATAGTAGGATTCATCTTCTTTAATATTCTTTCTTGAGTATTAATTAATTCCTATTCATATTTCATATTAATATTTTGAACATTACTTAAAGGATCAACTAGTTTTGTTTCATATATTAATTAATACTAGAATCGGTCGATTAATACGCTTGTTATTAATTCGGTCCTTTCATGGTAGTAAACTTGGATTATTAATGCATGCATCTCATGGTTAATAATCTAAGGGGAATTAATTATATTGATTAAACCAATAAACCGCTTGTGTTGAGGTTATCAATCTCAATCGTTTTCATCTTAAGTTTATTGCTACTATCAATTTAATATACGGCGCTTGTTCTATATTGACTCGATAGTAAGTTTTATTAATGAACGCTTCTCGTTATTAATAACTACCCTCGATGAACTGGATATACTCCTCGATTGAGTATTCGAGAGGAAGATAGTTAAAGATATAACCGGGATCGACGAACATTTCATTAAGTGGATAAAAGCAAAGCCAAGTCTTCTTCTCATTAATTAAACTCATCTAAGTCATTCATCTTAGTGTTAATTAAATCAAATCAAATCTAAAAACCCCCTTTGTTACTAGTTAATTAAAAAGAGAAATATTCCTTTCCCTGTGGATACGAACCTTACTACGCTATACTACGTATAAGTGTTGTATTGTATTATTATTTTGAGTGCACACTACGACAAAGTGCACGTTAAATTTGGCGCCGTTGCCGGGGAAAGTCAATTATTTTTCTTTTTATTTTATCTCATAAAAATCAAAAACAATAAAAAAAAAAACAAAACAAAAAAAAAAATCTTACTCTTCTATTTTCTGAGCTTACATGAGTTATGAGTATATGGATACCAACACATCATCCTTAGAGAGTCAAATTTCCTTCTTGACTTCTCTAATAAAGGAATATATCTTAAGCTCAGAAGCTCAAGATGCCAAAACATGCAACATTTGCATGTCTCACGGACATCTTACGGATTTTTGCCCAAAACTCCAACAAGAATACCTTGAGAATTTTGATTATGTTGGCTTCCAAAGGAAAGTACCTCACATGATGTATGATCCATTCCCCAACATGTCTACGGAGGACATGCTTCGGACTCTTACTACCAACATGACCATCATGCAAAACAATATGGTGCAATTCCAAAATGAGACCAAGTCTAAAATTTTAAACTTGGAAACTCAAGTGAGTCAAATAGCCGGAGCCGTGAGTGGGCTCGAAGCAAGGGATTCAGGAGAACTTTCCTCTCAAATAGAATGTGATCCTAAACAGCAAACTTTTGCAATCACAGTGACAATTGAGAAGGAAATGCAAAAGGAGATCCCAAATCCAGAAGAAATACAAGAAGAAAGAAACACGGAGTTCCAGCTAGTCAAAGAAGAGAATGAACCGAGTTTCAAGGTCCAATATCTGACCTTATCATCCTTTGAGGTATCTCCATCATCCCTGGACTCTTTAAGAGAAACTCATAAACTTGAAAAGGACAATGGCATTTCTGAAATCTCCTTCAAAATTGAGGGATCGAAAAACTTCTCATTGACCATGCTAAACGATAATTTCTTCCCCTTCCTCCCACCACATGAATCAATAAAAATCTGGATATTTGATCCTGGAAAGATTTCCAAAGTGAAGAGTCGAGAAATTTATCATTCCTATGAAGGTCCTAGGAGTGAAAGTGTGAAGAAGATAAACTATCACGATCCAAGTTTAAATGACTGAACACAATGATGTCGTCGTGCAGCGACGTTAAATAAGGCGCTTCTTGGGAGGCAACCCATGTAAGGTACGTTTACTTTTTATTCTAGTTTAAGTTTACACTTCAAAAAAAAAAAAAAAAAAAAAAAAAAAAAAGAGGCCTGGGGATTGAACCCGGCCCGGTATAAAACCCAACCCGGTCGGGCCCCTTCATAAAACACAGCACCCGGCCGAATCACCCGGGCGAGGCAGTTGTGGAATAGAGGAAAAATGAACATACCCGACCGGGTAACTTCAATACACCCGGCCGGGCATGTTCATTAAAAACATTCTGGATAAGCGGGAGTTAGGCCCGACCGGGTCAACTTACCCCACCCGGCCGGGTCGTCGCGAATTCTTTCACCGACTGAGCTGGCCACCCTCTTCCTCACTTCCTCTTCTGCAAACACGAACCAAACTCCGCCAAAACACCATTTTCAAACTCCATACATTTGAATCCTCTCCATTTCTACACCAAATCCATAAAAAAAAATCATGCTCATCATCTCCTCCTCACCCTCTACATTTCCATACCCACCAAACAACCCACAACCCACCAAAAATCCAAATCACCTTACTCCACAAACAGCAAAAGCCGAAATTTCCTCAACCAAAAAGAAAGAAATGACACCAAAAAGGGCAAAGAGATTCATTCTCTTGGACATCTCGGACACAAGCACTAGGGACAGTGCTTTGATTAGCATGGGGGGAGAATTTCAGGGAAAACTCACATTCATACTCTATATTCTTGAGTTTTTTTTTTTTTCAAAAACAAAAAAACAAAAAAAAAACACAAAAAAAGAGAGAATAAAGCTTGTTAAGTTGAAAACCTGAAAAGGCAACTTAAGCAAAAATAAAGCAAAAATAAGAGTGAGTTGTGAGGATTGAAACAGAAAAATGTGGGA